CGTGGGCACTCGCCTTGCCGCACGTGCCGAGGTTGGGTTATTGACTTGCAGGAGTCAGGGTTTTTTTCTCCTGTTTGAGTCCTGGGGGTCAAACTCAAGTCACCAGGTTCAGAGATTTTCTAACGTCCATCTGTCCTGGTCCTCTTCCTACTGCTTTTCCTGTGCTCACAAATGGCCAAAGAGTGTTTACTAAGGCTCTGTGCTCTTCAGCTACCTTGCCCAGCACAGTACAGGATTCTTTCCTGCAAATCCATTCTTAAGATCTCAGCAGCCTTGGGGACAGAAGAGTCAGCTTTCATCAGCAGGTGTCTGAAGCCCAGGGCCTAGCCGAGTTTTCTTCATTAATTCCTGATTTCAAGAAGAGAGTGATCTTTGCCTGTTTTTTGTTGTTGTTGTTTTTGTTTGAGTTGCCAGCTCTGGTCAGCAGAGACCTATTAATTATTGAACTGAACAAATAAAAGCTTTCTGTAAAGTTTCTGCCGGGCTGGAACTTTGAGTCTTACTGCGCTCGCTCAGCTTGCTCCTGCACTGGAGAGAGGGTGTTATGTAAGCCTTTGTCTTATGGTCACTACATCTGCTTTCCTAACTTCGTTAGCTTTATTAGCCTTCATTCGTGACCTGCAGCTTGCTAGTGATGCCTTTTAGAGAAGGCATTAAATCGTTGAGTTTTACTTTCTATAATAATAAAAGTACTTTACAAACAGCACGTACCAAATGACTACGCTAATGAATAAACAAATTAAATGTAAACAGATTTTGTTAGAGTTTGATTATTATACTAAATATCCAATCAGGGATGTTATAAAAACCATAGAAACTTGTGGGTTTCACAGTCATTGTCATAAGACAGTTCTTCAACTCTGTTTTTAAAGAAATGAGTTCACTCTCAGTTCAGAATTGGCTTAGTAGACATGACATAAACCTCAAATAAGTATAATTTAAATCTAAGCATAATTCAGTGTAATTTTCTCTCATCAAAAAGTCTAGGTCTCCACACGGGACTCCTGTGGCCCCTGCCATGATGGCAGGCATCCAGGCTTCTGCTGCCATTTTCAGAATATGGCTCCTCCATCACAGTGCAGGACAAAATCATACCATCACACCAGCGTCCCCACCAATTGGAAAATGGAAGAATACACCCTCTGCTTTAAAGGTACTTCCTCCAAGTTGCTTCCAGTATTTTTTTTTATACCTCATTGGGCAGCAGCAAATCAAATAGGATTCTGGGAAATGTAGTTTCTACTGGAAGCAGCCATGTCCCTGTCCAGAATTTGGGAGTTTTATTGCTAAGGTTGACAGGATAGCACAGATATTGGAGACAAATAGAAGTTAGACATATATTTGGATAAAATTTGAATGCATTGTCAGAAAAAGTTCTGACTGACCATTCATAGCTTGTTCTCTGGCTCCAACACTGTTTCTTCACATTGCTTCGAACCTTTGCTTCCATTTTCCTCCTCTCTAAAGAGAAGGACTCCATCTCACCTTTGCACACGTACTTACTGCTGGGATTTAGAACTCCTGGATTAGGTGCTCTGCCACCCTGCTTTTCTATCATCTCTAATATCTAATATCACTAATACTTCTGCTTTGTAGCATCTACCACAATCGAAATTGCAAGTTATTTACATTGTGATTTGCTTTATTCTACCCTACCCTCACCTTCAGGCCTCCAAGTCCTATGAATCAGGAAACTTAGTTTTCTTCATGCCTATATTCCCAGCATCAGGTTAATTGGTTTCTTACTAAGTCTCCTCCTACCCCATGGGAAAACTCACTGTTTATTTGATTAAACAAAAATAAAATAGTTTGCATAGGAAGAGACATGAGCTTGGCTTTAAGGTGCCTGTAGCCGATACAGCATCTCCTCAGTACTGCTCTGGCCTCCGTGGACCACATCGATATACCCACAAGTCTGCGGCTCACACCGGAGGTTTGGAACAATTCTCCTCTGCTTCTTCATCTGCTCATTGCCTGTCATGCCTGCAATCTGCAATGTTAACATTTGAGGTTTAAAGGTAAAAGAAAAACAAAACAAAACAATAAACTACAGGATGTGGAGGTTTCAGGATTTTAAAAAAAAAAGTCCCATGTTTTATAGAATCAACTAATGAGCTTTTGAATAAAACACTTTCATTTTTATAAGAGAGATAATTGTTGAATAACCTAATCCATTAGTTATCAAGAATGGAATTTCACTTTGTATTCAAAGTCTTCCTCAAATGCCCTGGTTTAGTCTGCCATAGTAAGAACAGCACACGCACCTGTAGATGAATTTCTAAATGGTCTTATTAAATAAAAAACACGAAGCCAAATATAGGGGTGAAAGCCTTAGATCAGGGAAATATGGAAAGCCACCAGCCAATCTTACCTCACCAACTCTGAAGCTTCCAAATGTGATGTACTTCCTGTCTACCCACACCTTTATTGCCTTGCTGTTCTGCCCTCTCATTGGCTATCTCAGCCCAGCTACCTCATTCCTTCTTCTTATACAGCTTTGTCACTTTCTGTCTGTCTGCACAGACCTCCAGGCCTCTATGGTTGGTACTGGGATTAAAGGTGTGTGTCACCATGCTTGGCTCTGTTCCCTAGTGTGGCCTTGAGCATACAGAGATCCTGCCTACTAAGGGATTAAGGGTTTGTACTGCCTGACTTCTTGTTTACTTAAAAATGGCTGGCCTTTCCCCCTGATCTCCAGGCAAGCTTTATTTATTAATATTTATAAAATATCACCACACCCACCCCAGGGTTCATGCTGTCATGGACAGTCAGTCTTACCATGCCAGAGGCCAGTGTTCTATCTGCCAATCTGTGCTGACCCATCCACAGGTGCAGAGTAATCAGGAAGCAGTGTGGAGTCTGTAGACTCTGGGGTGGCCCAGCTCTTGGAAAGCTGTTTTAATATGTGTGGCACTCCGCTGGTTTTTGGTTACCCCTTCACCCCTGAAGTGGTGTGTCAAAAAAATAAAATTCAAGCAGCTGGGCTTCTGGGCTGGCAGAGGATTTTATTTTATGGAGGAGTTTTTATCCTTGTTTTGAAAGAAAAAAAATAACTCTTTCATAAGTGTCAGTCACATTGGGTGTGAGTGAGAGTCACATCTGAGTTCAACAACTTTTTAAAAATAGCCGAGTAAAAAATCATTTTTTGCTATCTCAATGTTTAAGCATCAATGGTCAGAATTGACATAATGTGGGGAGGCTGGGGAGGAGAAAGCTGACCTTTAAAACACCTCTTGTGATAGCTAGGAAGCTTCCAGAATGCAGAGATTTAGAGCTTTAACTTGTTTTGAAAGCTGTGAACTTCAGTTTTCCTATAATATGAGGCTTCGATGGACCGAGGAGAAGGAGTTTCCACATTTGTCAAACCATGGGACTTTTCTGGCATTTCTTCAAGATTTTAACTTAGTGATGCCTGTCTTTCATCTTTGAAAGTTTGGTGTTTTAAATCCTTTTTAAAAACTCCCCCATGAAACAGGAAACTTTCTCCCCAGGTTTTTAAAGTGCTCCTTACCCTGTTACGCGTTTCCCAGCTCGGAGCCAACTCTTGGCTTCTCCTGTACCTCACAGCTGTGTCCCACGCTGGCACCTCTACCTTTAAAACAGTTCACGAACCCTGAGTGTTGAGATGAGAGGATGTGGAGGAAAGTGAAGTGACGAACTTGAATCTGAAACGAAGCCAGTCCTGTTCCACACTGTTCCCAAAATACTTTGTCTTCTAGAGAAATGTAGTCATCAAAGTCGAAGCACAAATCGGGAGTCCGGGCTACAGTTTTACCCATTTAAAAATACCCACCTCCCAGTGCATTTCAGCAGTTACCACTTCAGATGGGATTGGTGTTCTTAAAAACACACGCTCATCTCTTCCGGTTACGAAAACGCCTGCATAACTATTCTTAGACACTTGAAGGGACTTCTGAGTCAATGGGGACACTAGACTTTTCTGCAAGCTGGCTGTCCGTCAGTCCACATCCTGGCTACTTGGCGTTCAGTAAGGTATGACAGAGGAGGAAGGCATGCAGTCAGTTGATGGAGGTGGACCTCAGCTGGGGTATTGGGGTTATGGAGAGCAGTTCTGAGGACAGCGGCAGGAGACAGGTGGTACCACGGCTGCACTGTTGCTACTCAGTGGGTAAGTCTGCTTCCAGCTTAGATCTCAAAGAGGAAGTGACATTTCCCATCACATCCATGGAAGATAGTCCCTTTTTTTGCTCGGAGTGACAGATGTCACTCAGATCTAGTGAGAGCAAGAGAGTCAAGCATGATAGCACATCATTCCCAGAAAGATGGGTGGAAAAGAGTGCCAGCATTTGGGGCAGGCAGAGATTATCAAGAAAACAGAGCCCTCCTTGACAACTCTGTGTTCAGTCCTGCTTCACAGAGGGAATTGAGGAATCCATCAGGATGGAGGCTGAGGAGGCTGAGGAGGGCTTTTGTGGTACACACGAAGTCAGTGCATGCTTTCCATGCACTTGGGTGCATGTCACTGTTACTGGTCAATGTCACAAAAGAAACCAGGAGGAACATACAGCTGAGATTACTCAAACCAAGCAGAAGCCATGAGTCTGCTGAATCATGTGCTTAGCCAAATGGATAGGTATTTACAATTAAACAGCCGGCGGGCATAAGCTCAAGGGGCAGTACAGACTTCTAGCTGAGCAAACTACGGTTTTTGAAAACTCCCATCTCCATCATCTGAGTGGAGAGCTGTAGCCTTGGGTCCTCACGTCATCTTGTGCTAGAGCTGAGGGCTAGCTGGAGTTGGAACAAAAACCACAGGAGATGGGCACCTGCCATTCAGACCACCTGGCAGGGGACCAGGCTGTCTCTTGGGCGGGGTGGTATTTAGGAAAGCTGTGGCAAGCCTGAGGTGTAGAGACTGCGTGGGCCGAACACCAGACTTGGGATGGAAGGCTGCATCTTCCTTTGCCTCTGAATCAGCTGAGGAATCTTTTTCTTCCCAGGCCTGAACATTCTCATTTATAAAATGAAAAAAAACTTTATCTTTTCAGGACTAAAATCTAAATGAGAGGTTGTATGTGAGAGAATGTTGTGACTAAACATATATCAGTGAGACTTTTAAGAATTAGGAGATGACAAAAAAAAAAACCAATGGTGTAGAACAGGGCAAACATTGATGATAAGCTCCCATCAGAGGAACCTTTGCTCTGTGAGCCTTGGCCTTCCACAGCAAGCATTGACTCTCCTGCTTTAGCACAAAAGGAGCCCTTCGTAGTATGTGAATGAATGTCTTCATTACACTCTACTTACAAAACCAGGAAGTGGGCAGGTTTGACCCAGGAGATATTGCCTGCCCACCTCTGAACTAGAGGCCTACTAGATTCTAATCGTCTTGCTAGGTGACCTTGTGTGAGTTATTTTCAGTTCCCAAGCTCTATTTCTGTTTGTCTATTACCACTGGATTCCCCATGTCTCCTCAGTGCTGTGACACATGGAACAATGAAGAACCTCGTTAAGGAAAAGAGTTTTAGTGAATAAGACTTTGAATTACAAAATTATAGCAGTACATGGATGAATTCGCTGAGTTATGTGTTATGTGGGTAGAAAGAAGGATACTCCATTGCCTTAGTTACTGTTCTATGACTGCGACAAAACACCATGACCCAAGCAACTTACAAAAGGAATCATTTAATTTGTCACTCAGAGTTCTGAAGTGCTAGAGTTCATGAACATCATGGCGGGGAGCGAGGCAGCAGGCAGGGAGACATGACTCTGGAGCAAAAGCTGGGAGCTTACATCTCACCCACAAACATGAGGCAGAGAGATAACAGGGAACAGTGTGGGCTTTTGAAACCGCAAAGTCCACCCCCAGTGACACACCTCCTCTTACAAGGCCACACCTCCTAATCCTCCCAAATAGTTTCACCAAATAGAGACCAAGCATTCAAATATGTGAGCCTATGGGGGCCATTCTCATTCAAACAACCACACATGGGTACCAGTTCATGTATGCATGTGTGAGCAGTTTGTATGCATGCGTGTACATGTATAAGCCATCAATGGCTGTCTTCTATCGATAGCCACCTTATCTATCTATCTATCTATCTATCTATCTATCTATCTATCTATCTATCTATTGATCTATGTATTTATTTATTTAGACACAGGGTCTCTAACTAAACCTAGAGCTCATTGATGAGAAGACTAGCAGGCCAGTGAGCTGTGGGGACCTGCCTGTGTCTGCCTCCTCCAGCACTGGTGTTACAGACATGAACCACTGTGCCAGGCTTTCATATTATAATAGGGACACACTGAGCTATATCTATCTTCTAAAATAAAGAAAAAACCCTAAAGGTCTGAAGATATAGATCAATGGTAGAGTATTTGCCCAGCATGAACAAGGTCCTGGGTTCAATATGGATACTGGAAAAATAATTTTTAAGTAGATGAATTGGTAAATTCACCCTGGCTTTTAAGATGAAAAAAAAAAAATGGCCTCAGGAAGGTTTAGGGCTCTATGCAAAGTCACATAAGTAATAGGAGTGGAAAAGGGTGAACTTGAACTTGATTTCTGCCCTCTGCTCACTGAGACATTCAGCTAGCTCTGGACACTGGCTCGGGGGGCTCGGGGAGGAGGAGTAGGGAGGACAGTGGAGACTGCTGTAGTAGGGAGGACAGTGGAGACTGCTGTAGTAGGGAGGACAGTGGAGACTGCTGTAGTAGGGAGGACAGTGGAGACAGACTGCTGTAGTAGGGAGGACAGTGGAGACTGATGTAGTAGGGAGGACAGTGGAGACTGCTAATGCCCTTGCACTCCACAGCTCCCTTCCCCACAGTGGCCTCTCTTGGCCTCACTTCCAAGGATCTGTGTTTGCTGACTCACTCTCGGAGAGCTGCTTCTTCAGCCATCTGCCAGAAACCCACACCCCCACACACATCTCTTGCAAGAGGATCCCAGCAAACCAAAGTAAGAGGAACCCTTGTGCCCAGTCCAAGTCACAGGAAATCAGAAGAGGATCCAAGGAAGGGTGATCAACAGAACTATTTTTATCTGAGATGGTCGTGGTTTCATCCATGAAAGTCCTTGGAAACCACTCAGTCCTGAGAAAACCAGAGAGGACCTGGTTAGCATGACAGTTAATTCTGCGTGTCCACCTGACTGGACTCAGGAATACTCAGAGAACTGGTAAAGCGTTATGTTGGGGTGTAGACTGTCCCACATCCGAGTGCCCTTAGGAGGAAGGGTTTGTCCTCTGTGCATGGGTGATGTTGTAGCAGTGGTGGGTGGGGGCGGCACAGACAGCAGAGGGAATTGGTCTTTTCCTTCTTGTGGCCGGGATCTACTCTTTTCCTCTTGCCTCGGCACATCAGAGCTACACTTCCGGTTTCTCTTATACTCCAGTAGCCCCCTGACCCCTGTATTTTCAGGCTTTTAGGTTTAGACTGAACATCCCTGTGTCTCTGCCTTGTAGACAGCCTGCTGTGGGACTGTCAGCCTCCCCGAGCATGGGAACAACTCCCCTAATGAGTTACCTCTTAATCTGTCTCTATCTATCTATCTATCTATCTATCTATCTATCTATCTATCTATCTATCTATTTATCTATCTATATATGTCATCTATCTTTCATCTACCATGTATGTATGTATGTATCTATCTATCTATCTATCTATCTATCTATCTATCTATCTATCATCTATCTATATATGTCTGTCATCTATCTTTCATCTGTTTATCATCTATCTATGTATCTATCTCTCTACCTATCATCTATCTATCTATCTATCTTCTATGTATGTATGTATGTATGTATGTATGTATGTATCTATCTATCTATCTATCATCTGTCTGTCTATCTATCTAATCTATCTATCTATCTATCTATCTATCTATCTATCTTCTATGTATGTATGTATGTATGTATCTATCTATCTATCATCTATCTATCTATCTATCTA